AGTATTTTATGTTTAAAGTACACAATTTGTGCACCCAAGTATCTGATTCTAATAAAAATGTATTTCCTCAAGAAAGAAACGTCAGTATTTAGAATCCTAAGCATACGAAATGAAGAATGTCTAGAGTTCCTTAAAAACTCATGTTCACACAGAAACCAAAAGAGTAGTCAAGGTCTCTTAAATTTCCTCTGTTCAGTCTCACTCTTTTATTGCTGATGATATTATCAGTTGTTTTTTAAAAATGTATATAGGAGCCACAGACAGGAGGAAAGACTCTCTCCAAATCAGAGTCTATGGGAGCTTAGCCCAATTGCTTTGGAGCCTCTGCTGGCGAGAAGAAGTAACAGGCTCATTTCCACTTGCCAAGTTAGTCAGCTCCACAGTGCGTTCCTCCTGTGTACCACCCCTGCCTGGCCCCAATCTCACGCATGCCCTCTGTTATATGAGCTGCCACACTGGGGAGCAGAGAGACATTGGGACTAACCCATTTCCCTACTGAATAAACAACCACGGAGCACGTCCTGAGGTTGCAGGGTTATTAACATCCTCTCTCCTCTAGCAGGACGGTATATTAAACACTGTGGGGATGACATGGATGGAGAGAGAAGAAACTCTATATGGTCAACATAATTGAATTTTCTAGATAACAGAAACTTATTCCTTTGTGTCCAATATTCAAAGAGTGTTAATCATTTTTGTGTAGAAATTTCCCTGAGTAGTTTCCTTGCCTTGTTAAAGGAGGATACTTAACACCGCTGATCCTCTTTTACTCTCTGGTATTGATTAAAAGAGCATCTTCAAGATCGGCCCATATATGTAGCATTATCACAGGTTATGGACTCTGTTGAAATCCCAACAAACAGAAATACACCCTAAGGAGGATTGCTAGGATGGTAAAAGGATCCAAAAATAAAATCAAGTGGGCCCTTAGTCATGCTTGGCAATCTTATTCTACATTCCTTAAACTACAGTCCATTTTCTTCTTCTCTTCCATCAGGAGCTGACAAACAACAACCTACTGCCTGTTTTTGTAAAGAAAGTGTTACTGGAACGCAGCTGTGCTCATTCTTTTGCGTATTGACTCTTGCTGCTTTCACACGAAAACTGCAGAATTGGGTAGTGGCACCAGAGACCACATGGCCCGCTGGGCCTAGAGTATTTACACTCTGGCCCTTTACAAAAAAAGCTTGCCAATTCTTGCAACCGAAATGACTGTTACATGCCTTCTTTTCTCCAGCATCTTCCCACAGTCCTTCCTCAGCTGATAACTTGACTTCTTATTTTTCTGGGAAATAGAAGCCTTCAGAACAGAATTTCCACATGTTCCCACCACCAGATATGTCAGCCTACCTGCATATTTACCCCTGTACTTCACCTTCTCTCCTGTCACAGTGAGTGAAATACTCATACTCGTGTTTCTGTCTGAGGGTAGATTTTTATGCTCTTTTCCCTTCTGAAGGACATTGCTCCTAAAATGCCCTCTCTCCCTCCTACATCATCAAATTTCTCTCTCTACTGGATGATTTCTACTAAAGATAAATATGCTGGACTATCCCTCACCTTAAACAAGCAAGCAAGCAAAACTCCCTTGAACATCATTCTTAGCCGTTGCCCCATTTCTTTTAACAAAACTCTCCAAAAGAGTTGTCTCTCATTCTCTGTTAAACTCGTGCCAATGAGGCTTTTTTCCCTACCACTTTTTTTTCTTTAAAAAAAAAATGTTATATTCAAAGTCACCAATTACTTTTGTCAAATTCAGTGTCAATTATTTTGAACTCATCTCATTTGATATTTCAGCTGCATCTGATCCAGTTTTTCCCTCCTTAAAACACCTTCTTCACTGCTCACCCGCTTCTCCTCCTGGAGCCACTGCTTCTTACTCTCCTTCTCTGATTGCTCCTCTTCTTCCCAATATCTCAACACTAGACTCAGTTTGTGGATTTCTTCTCTTCTCTGTTGACATCACTCTACTGGTAACCTCCTCATTCCTCTGGTTTTAAATACCAACTACCCTGTGCTGACTCCCAAAGTCCTATCTCCAGCCTAGACTTCTCCTTTGGACCTCCAGACTGCTAACCCAGAACTGCACTTGGATGTCTAATAGGCATATTCCTTCCCAGACCTTCTCCCTCAGTCTTCCCAATCTCAGGAGATGACAACCGTACCCTTCTAGTTTCTCAGGCCCAATATCTTGGAGACAACAAATTCTGTTGGCCCTGCCTTTGGAATATATCCAGATTCTAACCAGCTCTCACCATCTCTGCCACTACCACAAGTTCCAACCCATCTCTTATCTGAAGATGAGTCTCCTACTTGGTCTTGTAGCTTCGACTACTTCTCCCCACCTAACAGTGTTTTCTCAACCCAGGAGATGGAATGATCCTGTTAAAATGTAAGTCAGATTATGCCAGTCTCATGTTCAAAACCTTCCAAAGGATTTCCATCTTGTTCAGAAAAAGAATCTAAACTCCTTACACATCCTGTAAGGAAACTACATGATCTGGTCTGACATCACCTCTCTGACCAATCCCACCAGTCTCTCTCTTACCAGCTCTGCTCCAGCCATGCTGTTCTTTGCTCTTCCTTGAACATGCCAAACACACCCGGGCCTCAGGGCACTTGTACCTCTGTTTCTCTGCCTGAAACACCGTTCCTCACTTCCTTTAGGTCTCCACTTAAATGTCATCTTACTAAAGAATCCTTCCCTGACATTCCTATCTTAATAATACTCCAATCGTTTCTCTGTCTCCTTACCTTTCTTTATTTCCCTTCCTATCATATATTACCATCTGATATTTCATATCTATATGTTATACAATCAATAGGGGATGTTATGCATCCCCTATTGAATGTAAGCTCCATGACATGTGGGACTTTGTGGTTTTTTTTGTTTTTTTGTTTTTGCAAGATTGGCCCTGAGCTGACATCTGTGCCAATCTTCCTCTGTTTTGTATGTGGGATGCCTCCATACATGGCTTGATGAGCAGGGCATAAGTCTGTGGTTGGGATCCTAACCCGCGAACCCCAGGCCACCGAAGTGGAAAGCACATACGTAAACACTACACTACTGGGCTGGCCCCAGGACTTTGTTTTTTTGTTGTTGGTGTTCACTACTTTATTCCTAGAACCTATAGTAGATCTTGACACATGATTGTTGCTCAAATAAAATCTGTCGAGTGAGTGAATGAAGGCATGAATAAAATAGAGAGCTAGAGGAATATACATGCAGAATGCTAAAAGGAGGATATCATAAATATTGGTATTTAAATATTTGAAAGATTGTCATATTGGATAAGAGGTAGACATAGTTTCAATTGCTTTAAAAGGCAAAACTAGGGCCAACCCCGTGGCTTAGCGGTTAAGTGCGCGCTCTGCTAGTGGCGGCCCGGGTTCGGATCCCGGGCGTGCACCGACGCACCGCTTCTCTGGCCATGCTGAGGCCGCGTCCCACATACAGCAACTAGAAGGATGTGCAACTATGACATACAACTATCTACTGGGGCTTTGGGGGGAAAAAAAAAAGGAGGAGGATTGGCAATAGATGTTAGCTCAGAGCCGGTCTTCCTCAGCAAAATGAGGAGGATTAGCATGGATGTTAGCTCAGGGCTGATCTTCCTCACACACACACAGAAAAAGGCAAAACTAGTACTCATGGGTTGATGTTCAATGGTTTCAGAGTTTTGTCTAATGTGATAAGGGACTTTCCAACAATTCTGGCTCTCCAACAGTGCACAGGCTGTCTTAAGATAAACTGAGATCCCTGTCTAAGAAAACCTTGGAAACAAACAGAGGACCACTTGTGAGGGATGTTGTAAAAATAAATCTCTGACTTTGGTGGAGGAATTCTGCTTGTTGTCCTCTGGGAATCTGTGATTTGGGCCACTTGAAGGATTTTTTTATTTCCTTCCTAGTTATTGGAGAAACTGCTGGATAAAGAGATGTCCTTGCCCTTGGGAATAAAAATTTAGTCATTTCTTTGCATGGATGGTCCCATTTCTCTGATACCCATTCAACAAAATGAGTATCTTTAGCACAAACCCTTAAGACCATGAAGCTATGGATCACTTGCTGGCCCCTTCTCTGTATTTGGTCATGTTGCTGAGTCCATTAAAATCCTGTAGGTTGTATTGGGTGAAACAAAGATTCCATAGTTTTGACTGTTCCTGCCAAGAGTAACTTCATATTTCTTTATTAGATCATGTCCTGATATGGCAGTATGAATCATTTTTGAAAGAATTTGAACAGAAACAGTTCATAATTTCTGTTATAATGAACATATTTTTTTTTTCAAATCAAAATCCTAGATTCTCCTCCTGTGTATTATTATTATTTAGGTACTTTGGTGTAATAAAAAATATGATGCTTTTGGGATCATTTCCAAACTCTGGTGAATTGTAAGCTTTCTTTTTTCAGTTTATTTTTAATAAACTTTTTTTTACTGTATTTCATGCAGCATTGGAAGTATTTTGCTAATAATGCCCCATAGTAACTTTCCACTTGTGAAAAAAAATTATTTTGTGATCTTCTTGTTAATGTGTATTTGTATATGGAATGATCTGGTGGAGCTAAAGAGTTAGGAGGTTGTGTTCTGTTATTTTTAGTACTCTGTATCACTTCACCCTTATGGCCAGAGTAGTTCCTGGCTAACTTTCCCATGAGTTTTTAACCTCTTGCTAGGCTTATGTAACAGGAAACAGGCTGTCAGGAACAAATAGTGGCATATCAGGAGCAGACTTCAGTAGCAAATGATTTAGTTTGCTCTGCCGTTCACCCTCTTAAAGTAGACTGATAAATGATCTCAACTTTAAGACTTTTGGTGTGGCATTCCTAAGATTAAAATAATACAATTTCACTTCTGGAAAGGCAAAATATTTTACCAAGACTCTGATTTAATTGAGGTGGCGGCAAAGATGAACTTATTATAAGGTGAACTTTGCAGTGGTGTCATGTCCTGGGACTGTGGATTTAAGTATATCTTCGCTTTTTCTCCAACTCTTAAGGCAGGGGTGATGTGCAAGCTTCAGGAGAGAGATGATATCGGACGAATTGAACTGGTCCAGAAGCTGGCAAGAGAAAACTGTCAATTTTTGCAGACGGACAAAAAAGAACAGGAGAAATCTGAACACGTAAGCCCTTTTCCTCTTGGGGATGCAGGTTTGAAGGGGTGGAAAATGTTTCTGCCTGGTTGTGTGTTTGAAGGAAAGAATATTTTATTTTAAATTCTTTAGGTTTTGTTTTTTCCCCCTCCAAAGCATCCTCCTTAGTAAAAATGACAGCTGCTCATAGCTCTAAGCTAGTTGTTTATGACACTGGACTTATAAGGGAACTCTTCTCAAAAGTAAATCATGTGGAAATACAAGAACATATGTAAACAAATATGAATGCTTGTCTATTTATGATCCTGACTTGATGGCTTTCAAGTTTGACTTGGGGAGTTTCACTCCATCAGATAGTTTGTGGAATATGAATTTTGAAAGAACATTCTAAGGTACTTTTATATTTAGTACAGGGGTGGATCTTGTTACCAAATGAATGTATCCTAAGTCACTAGAAATAGATAAGAACAGAAGAATAGATTATAGATGCTCTCACCAAGTGGGAGAGTCAGAAGGGCGTTTTCCCGGTATCTTATGAACGTTTGTGTTCCAACAAGAGTTATATTGTTTGGATGTAGTTAAACTGGAGGAAAGGGACGCTCTGCTCGGTTCTTCTGAAAGCAGTTATTCAGATTGAGCCTTAGAACTGAGAATGCTGCCGTCACTCTGGGAAAACAATGGGACCACTTTCTTCTGCTACATATTGTTGTCTGTTGACTTTTTGTTGTTGTCTGTAAGACTTCACTCTCAGTGCTGAACTATCCAGGATTGCTCATGAAGAGGAAAATTCCTCAGTGCTTATAAACATGTCTTTCTCTGACTTTAATTTTTCCTTGGAAATTTATTTTCAACTCTTTCCAGGGGGGAAAAAATTGCTTCATGCTTTGTCTGCTCAAAAGCCCTCAATACAATGCCAAGGTTTTACTGAGCAAGAGAGGAGGTGAGATGTTCAAGGAGGGCACACAGTTTACTTTAATAACATAACACATCTCTAACAGTGGGACATTGAATAATTACAATTGGTGTCTCAAGGGGAAGAATAATTAGGCAGTTTCAAAGCCTTGTAATTGCAACTATTTCAGAGGTGACTACTGAGTTTAAGTGCGAGTGGAGGTCTCAGGAGCCTTCACTTAGCTGGATACTATTGATAAGTTTAGAGACTTAAAGTTGTTAAAAACACCCTGAAACTGACTACATGCAAGACTGACTCCTAACCTCTGCTGTGACCTTAAAATATTTGAATATCCTAGTGCGTGGCTTCAGTTTCTCACAACAATATTCCTTTTGATTCATTTTAATTAGAAGAGCAGCAGTTTTCATATGCTATAGTTTATTGATTTCAAGATGCATGTTTCCCCCACATTTTAGCATCTCTGAAATCTGGATCAGTTTTAACAGTTGATGATATGGAACACGTCATAGTTTACGATAGTCCCCCCTTATCCGTGGTTTTGCTATCTGCGGTTTCTTGTACCTGGGGTTAACTGCAGTCAGAAAATATTCAATGGAAAATTCCAGAAATAAACAATTCATAAGTTTTAAATTGTGCGCCATTCTGAGCAGTGTGATGAAATCTCACGCTGTCCCTCCTGGGACGCTACATCACAGTGCTTACATCATTCACCTCACCTCATCTCATCACATAGGCATTGTATCATCTCACATCATCATAAGAAGGGTGAGTACAATAAGATATTTTGAGAGAGAGAGAGACCACTTTTACATAACTTTTATTACGGTATATTATTGTAATTGTTCTATTTTATTATTAGTTATTTTTGTTAATCTCTTACTGTGCCTAATTTATAAATTAAACTTTATCATAGATATGTATGTGTAGGAAAAAAACACAGTTATACCTAGGGTTCGGTACTATCCACGGTTTCAGACATCCACTGGGAGTCTTGGAACATATCCCCCACAGATAAGGGGGGACCACTGCAATTGTGGGCATTTTTCTTTTCTACTAGTCCTTAAAATGAATGATATATTTTGCAATGGATTGCATGTTTAATTCAATGGACCAGCGACCATCTGAGGGCAGGGCAAAGTCCTGTAAAATCAAACAAGCAGTGGAGTACCACTTCACCAAGTTTAGAAATAATCAGCCTTAGGCTACAAACAACTTGATGCTTATTGAAAAGGTACCTGTGTTGCCTTTGCCTTATGTTTAGTTCAATCCAGAATATCATATTATAGCTAATGAGAATATAATATGCTCCAAATATATAATAATAGAAATCTGAACTTGGTGCTGATAATTTTTGAAGACTTTTAACATAAAACAGAAATTTAGTGGTAGAAGGTTTGCAACTTTGCTTATGGTTATCTACTCTCTGTTATCTTTAAACCTTCATTTTAAGATTGTAAAATAGAACACTGAGGTTTTTTACTTCTTGCGTGAATGTCACAATGTGGATGCGTTGACAGCTCTGAAGTGTTTGTACTACTGAGAGGAAAGATGTTGTATAAATAAACATGGGAATTATGGCCTTTTCTATGTAGGCTTTTCTACTGAAGCTTAAAGTAAGGAAAGGTGAATATCAAGGATCTTTCTTCTTTAGTGATAAATATAAACTTAGGCACTCTGTGACCTCCCTCCTGCAGGATAACACCAGTTGAACTAATCAACTCTCAAGGCTAATATTTATATAGTGCTCCACTAAGTGCATTATTTGATATTAGATGCTTACACTTTTTACAATAATTTATTAGGAATAAAAACCATCTGGTAGATTATTTTACTGTTTTTTGTCTTAAGCATTTGATATATCTACACCTTTGCTTGCACATGGAGTTCACAGTGTCCATCAGATGGGTGCAGCATTTTCATTTTTTCTGCCCTCACTTTCTTTTCAATAGCAGTCATCTACTCTTGCTCCTGAAAACTCAGTTATAACACACAGAATGAACAGAGGAAACTGCAGTTTACTTAATGTAAACCTAGTTCTGCAGTTTCCTATTCTTGTTATGACAATAATAATAATGACCAAACCCTAGAATTACATACAGATTTCCTTTCTTTTATGATTTTAAATTGTTCATCTACCTCATCTACCATTCCTGGGCCAAAGTTATTTAAGTGGACAGTGGTAAAATTTGAGTTAGAATCCAAGTTGCCTATTGTGTCATTCTTTTTACTAAACTGCATTGCTTCTCCGCTTCTAGAATGCCACATCCCTTTTTGTACATAAGTGCCAAAATGAGAAAGCTACTTTGAAGTACTACTGCATAGAGACAGACATGACTTTGATGGAATAAAGCTTTTGTTGCTGCTGTGTCTTGTTACAAATTGAAGGGGTTTAGAGCTTTCTGAGTAGGCATATCGAATATTTTCTTAAACTGGTAAATGCCATGATTATAAATGCATGCAATTAGAGAAACACTTCTGTGCTCGTGCCAAGATGTTTCTGAAATTAAAAAAAAGTTAAATGTATAATTATCACAAGTTTCTCAGGAAGTACTTCATTTTCCTATTTTATATTAATGAGCCATAGGCAAAATTAGCCAGCACTCATTCCTAAGTGTTGAAAATTATGTGAGAACTTTAAGAAGGGGACAGAAATTGGCTATTTCTTCTAAACATTATGATAGTGAGATTAACATTGAGTTATTAATTCTTTAAAGAATACGTTCTTTAAAGAATAAAGAGAAGGTAATCTCTTATGCAGGCATTGTATTTTCCCGTCTTAATTCTGTGATTTTTATCAGTAGAGGAAGGGGCATATGTTACCAAATGAGAACATGTCAGCTTGACCTTGTAGGATGACCAGTGGTCATACAAAGGCAGGGCAGGGAAGAGCATTTAAGGCAGAGGGACCAGAAGGAAGATGCATGACTGGGTGATTCATGGGGAATGCAGGTGGTGGGCTGTATGGGAGGCTAAAATTCAGTTGTGAAAGACCTGGTAAGCCACCATAAGGAGTTTAGACTTGCCTTTTTACAAAGGAAAGCCATCAAAGAAGGGAAGTGGCATAATCAGATGTAGTCTTCCTAAAATCCTTCTGGCATTGGTTTAGAGGAAAAATTGAGTGTGGAAGAGGAAAGTGTTGGAGAGAACCCTCAGAAAACTCATTATAGTGAGTCAGGTGAGAGATATAAGCGTGAACCAGGGCTGCAACTACGGGAAATGAGAAAACCGTAGATATTGAGAGTCATTTAGATGGTAAAATGGGCAGAATTTGATGACTGCTGATGGGGAGATGTGTGTGCTAATTTATATTAAGCAGTTTTTGAATTTTTATTGTTGTCTTTGGTATAGTGGTAGACATAAGAATGTTCTGTCACCAGAACACCAGAATGGTTGGTCACTTTTGCCAGAAAGCTACGTAAGACATTGACCTTGCTTTGTTTTCCTGGACTATGTTTCAGGTGTCTGAGATACATTCTAAAGCACGTAGTGTTTATCTCATGAACAAACTGTTAGATGGGGATTCTATCTAACAGTATGGGGACCACATAAACCCTCTTCGTAGACCAGACTCTTTGACAATACCTTAAGGAGGGAGAATCTCTGGTAGCCCCAAAATGAGCTGAATTATTTGGCCAAAGCTTTGGCATTTGCTGCAATGTTGTATGTACCTTCTTCAGAGTTAACTGTGACTCTAGGAGTCTCTCCTGACCCATATAGCCTGAGTTGGTATTACTAAATTGTTATTCTAGAATACTCCCAGTCATTTATTTATTCAGTACACTTTTATTAAAGCTGATGTTGTAGGGATCCAGAATAACTATGGTGGCTCCAACCCTGAAGGAGTATAGCCAAGTTATAGAGAAGACATTGACGCAAATATCTGGGATACAAGGAGGCAGTGATGATAATCCCAAGAGAGATACATAGGATTTAGTAGAAGAATTTACACCTAGGGAAACAGGATTCTCTCTTATGGCAGAGGTAGAGTTTCATGTGGACTTTAAAGTAGGTTTTAGGTTGGATTTAAACAATTCAAATTGAAGAAAACCATTCCCAGTGGGAAGAATAGCATTAGAAAATGCACAGACACGTCAAAATACAAGGTATTTTTTTGGAA